GGCCCCGAAGGCGCGACCGGGGCGCTCCCAGAAGTCTTAAAGGCTGGGCTTAAAAGCGGGCGCGGCTGGGTTCTTCTGCTCGGAGTGGGAGACTTTTGTGAAGTCATGCAGAAGCTAGGCACGGGCAGCTCCTGCTTCAGATCTCACCCTGGCCAGAGTTGAGAGGGGAGCCTGAGAGTGGATACCAGTGGCCCCAGCCCCCTCTCGTCTGTAACATGGGGGTCATTGCATTTCAGGCTTCTGAAAGATTATTGTAACAGGCGAGGTATTGGAGGTGTCCGAAGAATCCAAACAGAGCGCTCTATATAGAAGTGACTAGATCTCTTTGAGAACAATCTCAATATATGACCTCTCACGGCCAGCAAAACTGTCGATTCACTAAAATAATGAACTTGTGGGCTCTCTCAATCATTAGCAGCAATATGGCAAGATGAATGGGGCTAATCTGGAGCAATCTGACTAATATATAAGTACCACTTGTTGACTAGAGGTTTACTCACTACCCAGAATTTTGAAAAAGGAAAAACCACTTAGCATTTGTCCAGTGATATCTAACTTTTTCAGGGTTGGACTGTTGACTTGCATTTCTCTACCTAGGGATGGGTTTTAACTACCTCTAAAGTCTGTTTAAGAAGGAAAAGAAAATGACAGGTTTTTAAATGAATAACAAATGGTATTAGCATGGTAATGAACCATCTGCAAGAAAAGAAGCAAGCTTGGGGTGCACCAAGAACCCTGAGCTAGATATATTCTGTAGTACTGTACTGGAGTAACAGTGTTAGCTGTGTGGATCCAGGAAATCCTGGAGGGATCATGATTATAAGAGAACCTACCAAAATTAGACAAAAGGTTGTGCAAGCTTTTTCACGTGTAGCATGACTGTTTCCTTTCAAAGAGTGAGTCCTTATTTTTAGAAAATGACCATTTCTGCTTTTTCTTTTATAAGCTTGGAGTTTTTAAATTTCCCTTTTGCCTTCAGGGTGTTTAAGTGATCCAGGAAGAAAAGCCTGTTATTACTTGGAAAATAATTGCACCGTGTCTAGAGAGATCATCCTCTCCAAGATCTCCCAATGGTAAATGTGAACCTTCCAGGGTGCCTTGCCTTTTAGAGTAAAGAAAAGTGCCAGCTGTCTGGGAGAGAAGTCAGAATAAGTTTATTCCGATGACACACAATTAGTTCTTCAAACAAATGTTTAATGTATACAATATTGCTGTCATAAGCTGCCTTGATGGCAACTAGCTACATTAACTCATGGCTATTGAAAACAAGCATTTCGGGAGGAGAGATAGGCATGGCTGGTGTCCCTCCTAAGCGAAGAGTGGTAAGGCCAAACAAAATTAGAATGGAAGCAGATGAAGTCCATAGCCTGCAAATGGTTGAGTATAACTTTATTTTAAATTATTCTAAGCTTTTTCCAACCTAGTACCCTGACCTACATCACCCATAATTTTCATAACTACCATACTATACCAATGGTATGGTTATTGTTGCTGTCCAAGGTATGCAGACTTTTAGTTGACAAGAGACATTTTTGTCCTTTACAGTGATGCAAATTCGACAACACACTGTCATGTACTTGGGCGAGATGAAAGGTTCTTCTGGGAGGGGAGGGGGGATGTTGTTTGTTTTAAGTTCATTTGAGGGTGATAATGGTAGCTCTGAGTGATCAGTTCTAGTCAATACTTTTTTACGGTTACAAACATTAAACATAGGAGTAATTTTTTTCTCTAGATATTTTTCTATTACATTTCATTTTCATATAAGATTAAACTGAGGCATTGCAAGCAAAGTGGGGGGAGGCTTGCAAATGTGGAATGGGCTTGTGCACACAAAGCAGAATCACAGTCAGAAAGCACACCCATTCATTCTGGATAAGCCAGCTACTGGCTCGTCCAAACAAAGCAGAGAAGAAAGCCTAGAACCTAATCTGGCTCCAGCTTTGCTTGTGCAAGCCTGAAGGTTTGTACACGTAGTTGGATTACTGTCAGAATGTGCCCCCTTCTGCTTAGACAAACAAGCAGCTGGCTTGCCCAAGCAAATCCTGGAATGAGTGCTGCCACAGCTTTAGCCAGTGCACCTAAAGATGAATTGTCAAAATTCACTCCTCTGCCCGGACAGCCAAGCAGCTGGTGCCTCCAAGAAAGTGGAGTGCCCAGAACGCGGCCTGTTGGGTTGCACACACAAAGCTGAATCACTGGCATTACTTGTTCCTGATCTGCCTAGACAAGCCAGCAGCAAAGGCAGAATTTGCTGCAGTAGCAGCTGTAAAGGGCAGATATTGTCCCAAAACGATGTGAAATGAGAAAGGACAATGGCTGTGCCAGATTTCAGGATTTACAGCCCTTGTATAGTGAGATGGGGAGCATATATAAATTTGAAAAATAAATAAATAAACAGATTGTGGAAAAGCAAGATTATCCTTCCCATTAAACATATATGTGATTTTATTGCTTATTTCCAATGAAAAAGTTTTATTTTATGAAGTTGCAAGTTTCTATAGTTTTATTTGATACATATATTAAATTTTAATTATTAAAAGTAAGTGGCACATTTATTTCTGCCCATCCCTAACCTTAATGAAATAATTGGTTGCATTCATATGGGGATCACACAAATTCATTTATCATATTAGGGGATTATGATGCCCACAGAATTTGAGAACCCTGATACAAGCCTTAGAATGTAGCCTGTAATTGCTAGTATTTTTAAAATGCAAAATATTTATGGAAGGTTTTCACAGTAAGTGGGCAAACTATTGTGAACTAAGCATCTTTAGGACAAGAACCCATTAGGTTTTGTTCTATTTTGTTTTTAATGTGATATATGAACGCACTATGCAGGGAGAGAGAGAATTATAGGAATATATAGAGCAACTGTACTCTGGGGGGAAAAAAACATTGCTCCTGTCTCCTAAAGTCACAATGGCCCTAAAACAATTGAGAAATATATGTTACATATATACAAGTTTTATTCGAACTTGTATCAGTCCTAGCTAGCGTGACTAAAAATGATAGATGGTGGGTATTGCTGGCCAAGAATGTCTGCAGAGTCACATACTGCCTGCTCCTGATTTAAAGCTGTGCTCTTACAAGCTGGGTTATGACACCCTTCTTCCATAAAACTTCTGGCTATGGGCCTGAGACCTGCTCTGCATTGCACACATGCACACACGCACACACATATAATAACTTGGTGTCAAAGTCATGATACTTAGCAAATTCTCCTAGGATGAAATACAACCTTTACTAAATGCCTTGAGTTAGAAGAAAATCCTTCCTAAGGAGCTGTTTAGCTGAAACTACAGAACCCCACCATTACAACAGAAACTGATATAAATCCTTTTGCTCTGGGAATAATGTTTCATTCCAAATTTTATCATTTATTTCTCTTTCTCTCTGTGTGTGTTTCTCTCACACATGCACACAGACACAGACACACACAGAGGACTAGACTGTGTTTTTCTGCTCTGATTATACAAATATTTCTGCTAGTGCAACAGATCAGGAAGATGAGAGATCACTGATGCTATCATAAAAAAAAAAAAAACAGAACCCACTAAAGCAGCAGCTGTTCACATTTCATAAGATGACACATTGATCTGAAACCTGGCAATTTTACCTGACATTCATCTTAAATATTGATGAGGAAATTTCTTCTTTTTATCTTCCCCAATGTACTTTCAGTTTGGGGGGGGGAGAAAAAGAAAGAAAGAAAGAAAGAAAGAAAGAAAGAAAGAAAGAAAGGAAAGGAAAGGAAAGGAAAGGAAAGGAAAGGAAAGGAAAGGAAAGGAAAGGAAAGGAAAGGAAAGGAGATGTGTCAAACACT